ACTTCTCATCTGCTGTGTTTTCTTTTATTAAACATTTTTAACCATTGAAAGCATAGATACCAACTTCTGAATTTAAGTTCCTAGGGTAGCCTGTAGATCCTGGAGGTCACAGACATTTGATCTGTGTTTGGGAACACCCAATTCCTTCCCTTTCGTAAAACTTCCAGAATTCTGAACCCTTCTGGTTCTGTATCTGTTCCCAACCCCACCTTGGCTCTTGAGCCTGCCCAATAGATCATGTCCATTCCACGAGGCTTCAGACTGTGCTCCAAGTTGGATTTCCTTACAGTTCTGTGCGTGACTATCACAGGTCAGCTCAGAGCTTGGCAGTAGTACCTGGCACATTGCTGGCAGCAAGTCAGTGTGCATGGGGTTTACTTGCTGAACACTAGGCTTGGGGTGCAATGAACTACAACAGCCTTAGAGGCAGGTGGCTGCCATCCTTGCACTGAAAGATGGAGAGTGGGCCGTGTGGATTTCAGAACAGGCGTATGCATGTGTGTTCTTTTAGGAGCAAAGCCCTGCCTGGTTCCTGGCGGTGTGAGGTTACATCATGCTTGTGCAGCCCAAGGAATGGGACGTTTTATAGCTCTACGTGTAAAGGGAGATTGGGCAGTACGGCAGTTGTGTCACCATGGGGAGTATCAGTGCTGCTGCTCCTGATCATCCACAGGAAAGGTTGGCTTCTCAGCCGCACTCATACAGGGGAGAGAGGGAGAATAATGAAGGCTGGTGGCATAAAAGGAAAGAGTGGCCTCGCCCAGACCCTTGTCCCCTTTCCAGCTGACCTCACGGTGGGGTGCTGAGCCTCTGTTTTCTTGCCTGTGAAATCAGGATAAACCCTCACCTCACAGCATTTGTGTCAAGATTAAAAAACTGGCACCTATGACTGTGCCTCTACTATGCCCGATGCACCAAAAGATTGTTACCCAGTAGATGTCAGTGCTTCTCTCCCTACCAAGGGTACTGAGGGGACATCACCTAGCTCCATGACATTCACCCTCAGCATGCACTGAGCATTCACTGTTTGCCACCTTCTGTGTGATTCTAATTTCAGCATTTCACAGCTCACTTTTGAAATAGCATCTTTCATCCCTGAGCGTCTATGCACAGTGCAGAAATGAGAACAGTCCCCCTCTGCAGTCAGAAGTGTGAGCTCCAGGTTCATGCTTTTCCTGGGGAAACACAAGATCCAGCAGGAGAAATGGGGTGGTGGGGTGGGGCAGGGCAGGAAGGCCTGTACCTGAATCAGGTTCAAGTTCAAGGAGCATGTATTAAACACCTACTGTGTGTTCAATGCTTTTGCACATAGTAGTCTCCCGTGGCAGCTAAGGAAACAGAGGCTCAGTGATGGTCGGCTCTATGTCCACATGCATGAGACAGCACAGCCAGGAATCAAATGAGGTCTCATTCCCTCTGCCACACATCTCCTAATCAGGCTTGGTGACTATTTCTGTTCCCCTCTGAGAGAAACCATGGCAATCGACAGATTCTTTCAGATCAGAGCAGGTTCCTTTGGAGCCTTCTAAGCCATCTGGCTTCACTCACAGGTGACAGGTGATTCTGCTCCTGCTGTGTTTTTTCAGATCCTCTGAGAAGTGGCTTGTGGCTTGTGCAGAAATGCTCAGCCAGGCAGCTCCTGCAAATAATTCAGAATCACAACTGGGAGGGCTACCGCACAGAATCCGGAGCAGGCAGGAAATAGCCATGGCATTCCCTCCGCCAGCCCTGGTGGCCACCTCTCCCCCACTCCCCACAGGGAACCGAGCTAGACTAATTCGAGGCTGTCTGAGTCAGAGCAGGGAAAGTCCTGGGGCTCCCAGCCTTGGGAAGTAATCCTGGCTGATGTTCAGTTTGGGTATCACTTTCCTTAATTTACTGTAAACTGTCCTGTGGGCCGAGCTGGGCATAGATCCCACTGCACTCACACCCTTGTTTTCCCTCCCTGGTTAGGTCCTTGCTGCGAAGGTTCTCAACCTTGTCCTACCAAACATGTCCCTGGGCCCGATCGACTCCAGCGTGCTCTCTCGGAATAAGACGGAGGTGAGAGTCTTTCTGAAAAACCAGGGGGTAGCTGGGGCTGGTGAGGGAGTGAAGGCAGCAGCCCCAGTGGGAAATCTGAGTTTTAGCTCTCTCTGTGGCATTTTGCTGCCCCTTTGCTGAGGCCCTGAATGAAGTGATGGGGACATGAAGGTGCGTGAGAGGCCGTCTGGCTTCAGGATTGGGGGGGAAGGGATAAGTGGTCGTGATGTCTGAGCTGTGCCCTAAATGTGCAAAAGAGCTAACCAGATAAAGTCGTGTGTATATCAGCCAGGTCTCTTTTGGTTGTAAGGGACAGAAACTTAACTTAAAATTAGTTAAGCAAATTTAAAAGTGAAATTTATTGGTGAATATAATAAAGGCCTTGGGCACGGGTGGATCCAAGGGCTCAAAAGTCTTGTTCACCATCCATTCTCCCCAGGTCTCATATCCCCTGGTTTGCCTCATCCCCTACCAAACCTGGCCCAAGTGGAGGCAGAGACGGCCACTGGCAGCTTTACATGAGCAACCCCAGCAGAAAGACACCACTTTCCAAGAAAAGTCCCAGGGCTGATTTTTATTGGCTGATTGTCCAAGCCTGGATTATTTATCCAGGAAAGGGGTCAGTGTCAACCCCACCCAACCTCAAGGACCGAGAGTATGGGAAGGGGGCAGAATTGGGATAGAGTAGCAGAGGACAGAAGAATGGATTCAGGCCAGGCCAAATGTCCTGTGGGTTGTGGGAACGGTGCAGGGCTAAAGGGGAATCAGAGGGAAAAGATTTGAGTGGAGGAAATGGCAAGAGTAATGAGCCCTGGCGTGGAAAGAGGACAGCCCATTTGCAGAACAGCCAATAGTTTGGTTCAACCACATGTAGGGCAGCAAGTGAGTGTCGAGGGCTAAACTGAGGTCAGATCATGAGTTAACCCACGAACTTCATCTCCCAGGAGTCACTGCCCTGCCAGGAGTATGTTACAGCCCCCCAAACAGCGTGGTACTGCCTTCTATAAAAGCAAAACCAGGAAAAAAAAGAAATAAAGGAAGGGAGAGAGGGAAGGAGGGAGGAAGGAAAGGAGGGAAGGAGGAAGGAAAGAGAGGGAGGGAGGGAAGGAGGGAGGAAATGAAAGCAAAACCAACTGAAAGAAGCTTAGAAAGAAGAGGCAAGGTGGCTTTGGGAGAGAGAAATAAGTTGGGAGGTTGTGCCATCAGTTGATGTCACCGCCTCTGGGACCAGGCACTAAGGTCAGCATGAACAAAGGGTCAAGATCAACAGTGTGCCTGAGACACTGGGTCTGAGCAGAGTTCAAAACCCCAGAAACTCAGGTTCGTCTATTAAGATACTGCTCAGTGAACCAACCTACCTCCCAAAGTTTAGCGAAAGGCCAGCACCCGTCCCTGCCTTTGAGTGGGCCTAGTGCTCTGCTCCAGGTGGGTGCTGTGTGCTCACCCACTCAGGGCAGCCCCAGATGAGCAGACTGAGGCTCTGCAAGATGAGAGGACTTGCCTGGGTCACCCACTGGTGGGACCAGCCTGAGAGCGTAGGTGGTGTGATCCCAGCCCTGCTCTGTCTGTGGCGGCGACAACCGGCTGCAAACTTACAGCCAGTGGACAGGCAGCCACTCTGGGTATCTGGAAGACACCGGAATTCTCTTCAGGATTAAGCAAATCATTTTGCCACTCCTCTGCCTCAGCTTCCCATCTTGCCTTAGGAATTTGAAATCATGAAAGTGGTGGCTTCCTAAAGACCCTGTAAAATGGAAAAGGGTGCTCTAGCTTTCCCAGGTTTCCTTGGGACTTGAGCAGTTGGACTCTAGCTTTATTATAAAATTTGACCTCCTGGCCCTCTGAGTCACTTAGAGAGTGGGCAACTAAATGCGAATCATCCCCAGTGGGTATGAAGGAGACATTCTTGATCAGGGCCAGCAGTTCCTTATGAATTAGGCTGGTGTGAGGCTCTAGGGAGTGGTGGGGCCTGTGGGGAGCCAGAGGGTATCAGATCCACCTAAGTCATCCGAGTTCAATTTTAATTTAATCTAATTTTTAAAACCCACAGTGCCTCCCAAACCCACATCTTGGGGCCACATTTGACCCAGAAGGGTCAAAGAATATTTGAGTAAAGAGAAAAAACTAAGTAATTTCAAAAGGAAGATCTGTATGTTGAAAAAGCATAACTATAGGACCCCAAAAAACCAAAGGCAAACATATATATGCTGTTTGATTTAATCCCAACATGAATGAGACCAACATTAACCTCATTTCACAGGTGAGGAAACAGGCTCAGAGGTTAAGTAACTTGTCCATGGTTACACAATCAGTCAGGGGCAGAGCTGGGATTTAAACCCATTTGATTCAAAAGCCCATGGTTGCATGCTTCCTTCCAGCTAATACTTTCAGTCATTAAGCTTTTTTCCTGTTTTGTTTTGTTTAATTTTATTGATTTTAGAGAGAGGAAGAGAGAGACAGAGAGAGGGGGAGAGAGAGAGACATCGATCAGTGGCCTTCCGCGTGTTCCCCGACTGGGGATCAAACCTGAGACCTGGAAATGCGCCCTGATAGGGAACTGAACTCACCACTTTGCGGTGTATGGGAGGGTGCTCCAGCCAACTGAGCCGTCCAGCCAGGGCTCTTTTTACTCTTTTGTAATTTCTGCTCCACGCAGCCTGCGGCCGGGGCCATTGCTCTGTGTGCGGGATTCACTTTGTGATGGGAGTCAGTGTGGAGCAGGGGCTCCTCCCCCTGCCGCGTCCCCCATAGTGGCTCTGGCTTGGCTGTGCAATCTCTAGCAAAACCAATTATTTTTGCAGCAGCTGTGCTAGGACAGCAATGGGTTAAGAGAGCGAGAGGGGCCTCCCTGTGAGGTCTTTGAGAGGCAACATCCAGGTGCAAATCTGAGTCATTTCTCTCACCACCTGAAAGTACTTGGGCAAAAAGGGAGAACAAAAAGAGAGAATGAAATTATTCCAAACCCTCTTTGTTTAAAAGTAGCAATCTCAGAGTTTTTATCTCATTTTTGAAATAATGGAAAATTCCGTTGAAGGCCTTAAACACATAGAAGAGTCTGGTGTGAAAACACAGCACAGTCTCCCATGGGATCCCTGGTTGTTTGCCCTCGTGGATCAGGTTTCTCACTGGTCAGGTAAATGGAGTGGTTCTTTAGAAACACATATAAATGTCTCTGCTAGGAAGACTTCGAGGAGGGAGGTGGCTGGTGGCTGGTCAGCACGAAAGCTGAACTCCTGCTGCAATGAACAGGAGCAAGCATTTCCATTCCTCAGCTGAGAGAATTCGCCCCCCACATGTCCAACTCTGAGCCTCCCTTTGAACCTTGTGCTGAGCTTTAAAAATAGCAACGCCCAGAGGGAAATGTGCTCAGAAAAGGCACCCCCCCATCTAACATCAGGGTGTCTTAAGGCACATCTTTAGTTAAGATATTTCCCATGGAGTGCTGCAGCTATAAAAGCCTCAAAAATAAAAGAACCGTTTGCCTAACGAGCTCACTGAAGCAGGCCCTTGGAGGAAGGGTGCAGGCTGAGGGGGTGGAGGGTGGCAGACTCCTTGGAAGGCTGTCTCTGGGGAAACAGGCTGCTTCTGCCATTCGAATGTCAAAAGCAGGATGTTTGTTTGGGGTTTGCCGTGGCAAGTGTTCTCACAACCCACCCAGGACTGTTAGCATAACGCCCTTCACCAGCATCTCTTCACAGCTGCCAGCCCACTGACACACTGTCCTGGCCTATGTAGCCTCCAGGGCTAATGCAGAATGTGCCTTGGATTGTCTCCGCACAATCCAATGAACAGTGACTGCACCCCTCTTCTGTGTCAGACTAGCCCTTTTGTCTCCCACAGCTCCAAGAAGGCAGTCTTACTAGCAGTATTTGTATTTGTGAAAGCTTGGGCCCAGACAGGCAAGTCACTTACCGGAGGTCACACAGCTACTAAGTAAGGCTTTGAGCCTACACCTCTCTGCTCTGAGCCAAGTGCTCTTGGCACTAAAATCCTGGGAACAAAGAAGTTGCTACTCAGGCCTTTTTTTTGTTTGTCTGCACATTTAGAGTCCCTGGTCAGAACACTGGAATACTGACATATTAATCATTCCACCCTCAGAATGTGATGAATCTCTCCCACTTTGAAAAGCCTTGAATGTTCTTAATAGTTGTCAGGCCAAGGATGTGGGTGGTGGTGGTGTGTGTGTGTGTGTGTGTGTTGCGGGTGGGGTGGGGGGTAACAAGGGGAGTTGCTCAGAGTCTCTACCTGTCCTCACACCATACCAGTGCTAACCATGCAGTTACTCATGAATAGAATTCATTGCTTTCTTTCGGAGCTCCATCCTGTGGCCTGTGAACTGGGTAGAAGCCAATAGAGAGGAGAGGCTGTGATTCTGAGTCCCTTTTCCACTGGGGACAATGCACTGGTTATATACTGAGGTACTTTGTCTTCTAGATCCAAGTCTCTGTTCTCTATAAATACTCTGGGATGCCCACCAGGAGTATTCTAGCTTGTTTGTATCACACTGACAGGCCATATGGTGAGAGCTGTGAGGAGTGGCCAACTCCACTTCATTTCATTTCTATAAGTGGGTGCCACTCCAGACCCCACCCAGTGCTTGAGGTGTGTCAGCGTCAAGGATTAGTTCCCCTGCTCCCCTGCACCCTGCAGGTCTTCCACCCCCACGCCAGTAGGCCGTCTCTGCCCATAGCCCTTGAAGGCTCCTGCCAAGTCTTGGAAAGCTCAGCCGCACTGAAGCTTTTAACTAATTATAACCACAGCTAAAAATAGGCCCCAGCTTCCCCTCCATCCTCAGGACATAGCCTCCCACAGCAGTCCCCTCGAGAACTGGTTATTAACTTTCCAGTACTCCTGGTTTGGTTAGCAGATTTTATTTAGCTACCCTCCATCAATCATATTGTAACCAAATCACCTCCTAAATTCAGGTTTGTGTACTTGATGCACTTGTGAGCCAAAACATTGAGACACCAGTGGTTGGAGGTAGAAAAAGGTTTGTTCGATTTGGCCAAAACCAGAGGACA